CATTCTCCTAATTAGCACAAAGAGATACTGGCTTAAACCGACGCTATGTGATGTATATGATAAGAAAATAGGTAACTTCAATGATTTCATTGCAGAATGTACCAATTCGGTTGTTAACTTAAGTTGCTAACAACATCAAAAATAATTATTGGTAGGACGCCGGATGCCACCTTATATCACAGTTACGAAAAATACCGACAAGTGAACTTACGTTGCCAGCAAGAGACAGGTGACTTTGGCTCCAACTTCATCTCAAGCTTAAACCTTGTGATGCACTAAAAATGCAGGAAGAAATATACATCAAGTTTATTTGTATCCCCAAATTTACAAATAGTTCCTGACTGTAAGTTATGCACGAGCTCCTCTTAATTGTTACTTTTCATCCAGTAAATAGAACTAGACCAATCTGTCAAGTGCCTGCATTAGAAAGTGATGCAAGTAGTAGGTAAGGTACATTTGCGCGGAAATTTATGGTGTTGTGCTCGTTATCAAACATTGTAGGTATTTGATCCTGCAATTCGCCCTTCCAATGTATATGGAATAGGGGCAAAATTTGATGAGAAGAGATCAACTACTCCAAGGATGCCCTCTATAAGGTGGCCTAATTCATATGTGCTTGAGAGCATTGATTAGGGAAACAAAACCTGCTCACATTACCCTCGTACCCTTTTGTGAGAACTTATTGCCTCTTTAAACCATTAGCCTAATCAGCCGACATTCACATGCACATTCCATGTGTTGTTGCATACCTCTTCCAAGTGCTATAAGCCTGTCAAAATGTAAAACTAAATAAAGTTGGGTTTACTCTCCCCTTTCCATTTAACCCAGCAGTTGGATACTTAGCACAAGGCAGCCAAATAATCGCATTTGCCGCCATAAAATCCTAATAAAGTTAACTTGTAATCACGGAACAGTCTGCTGGGCACCAACAGAGAATGCATCATAAACGATTTTATAGTGCTAGAGAGTAGAAAAGACAAATTTGCAGATGGACTAAGCGGTAGGATAAGCGGAAGATGTCTGAGCAGACCTGAGAAAGCCGATGCATGCAAATTCCTGTTCATTAATGGTTTACGCTATTTATCTATACTGCTGCATTCGCCATTACCTCCTTTTTTCAAAAGGTTTATTATTCGCGTTCGCCCATTCTGCTTGGATCAGAGTTAAGGAGATGAGACATTGTCAATATGTTGTAAATAAAAAAGGAAAACTCCATATTGTTTGAATGAAATCGAATGGTTTATTAGCGATTATTAGACTTGTTTTGGCAGCGATATTTAATATTGATGGTGCATGCGGATGAAGGGGACAAGATTTTATTCCGTCCACTAAGGAGGGTTAATAGAGCAGGCAGAGATTTACGAAAATCGTTACAAGAAGAGAGGAAGAATCCCATCCTTCTTTTAAGAATTTATAAACAGTTGGCATGAGACCAAACAATCTTCCAACAGGTCCTTTCACTTTTTTCCCATTTGTCAATTGTGAGTAAGGTATTGTTTCACTTTGTTTTTGCATGTGAACTTAAATTAACTAAAATTGTGCTTTAAGTATGTCGCTAGGTTTTAAAAGTCTAAGAGGGGTTCTACTTATCTAAAATATTACGACATATCCACGCACAAAATATTCAACAAGAATTGCTTTACATCAGGCGCTTTTTTTTGTTGCTTCTAAATTAAGAGTACGTAGATGTGAATAAGTCCTTCTTAAGTTCCTGCTTTCTGTTTATTACTTCAATAAGAAAACATACCAGTACTCTGCTAGCGTCTTTCATCTCTAAAGCCAAGATCAAGTGGCACAAAGCAAGTAAGAGCAATATCACTCATCGCAGTTGCGCAAGCAAAGTATGGAATGCAAAGTAATGCTTTTGATATGCAGTTCATCAATCGACAGTTTTACTTATAACTTCTGCAAAGGAGTCAAAAAAATGCTTTTTTTTTCTTAATTATTAATTTTAATAACTACAACATTCGATCGTCTGAATAGGTTCTATAAATGAACACCGTGAACAAGTGAACACTTTTTATAGCATGGGCTTTTTGACTTGCCCTGAGCATAAAAAACTTTTCAAAACTCAACCTCATTTTAGATATGCTACATATTATTATTATAAACAAAGTCAATCACCAATATTATCTGTTTTCGCAACACCACATTCACATATCCACATCAATGAAGATGAGCAGCATGCTGTAAGGCAGTAATATAAGTCATTTCTTTAAGCATATTATTGTATTTATCTAGAAGCAATTGCTGTTTTCGGCCACCTTATATTGCCACAACAGTTGTTAATTTTTTTATGTGAATTAATGTTTACATATGCTAGCCTGGTTTCAAGAGGGGAACGACGTGTGCGCACAAGCCTGACAGGTAATAAATGTCGAAGACCGACGATGGTGCGATAAATGACTTACTTTAGATCCGAAACAATACTTAGTGCACGCAAAATGCATCTAAGTTTAATATAAACCGATAAATGTTACTGAGAGAAAACCTGATCATGAACATATTCTATGTGATGGCAACAAAAAGATTTCTTGCTAATCACTAGGTACACGGGTAATTAAAACAGAAAGTCAACTTTTTGATAGCATAAATATTTACAAGAACTGTTATAAATCTCAGAATAAAAATAATGAATGCGAAGACGGTTGTCCTCGTGCTTGACAAGAAGGTGGTTAAGTTTATCATAAACGCCTCGCATTCTGGCCCATACCTTTTATTAGGTGATTTTAGTTGTCGTGTGGGTATATTTAGCTAAATTTACCATATTTTTTCACAGATTTCAGAAATAAGATTAATCATTTGGACATATTTCATAAATAACTTTAAAGGTGCATAGTTTTTAACCATGATAATTTTGCCTAAAAAGAAAGGAAGAAGCATTATGAAATATGGCAAAGTTGTGTTTATTAATAAATCTTGCAAACTTCAGGCCTACGCAAGCCCGCACAGACGAGGGCTAGAGATTGGAAATTTTTACAAGCAGAGCCAAGTTCCTCACACTGCTGCATGGTGCAACACAATGCATTTGGGGCTGCCTACCTCAGTTGGACCAATAATTCACTGTGGCATCCTTTCTTATCCCTCTGCTCCCAGGTTCGCTTGTATACCTGACCCATAATGTAAATAATAATTTTTAGAAACAAAAGACCTTTAAATTGACACCAAATTGTATTAAAAATACTCAGTTACACCAGTTTGCTCAATTGTGTTCAATAACTAAAAACACGATTTCAAAAGTTATTAAAGCACCAGCCAAATTGGACACATTTTTTTCTACCATAAATGCCTTCAGTCAAAAGTAGGTTAAAAGCACTCACTATTGCAATCTTTTGTTTAATTTTCGTGGTATTTTGGACAAAGTTTTTCATTTGGATTTTTCAAAATGCATTGATCGGCTCAAAAGCTTCTGGGTACATTAAGTCCTTTAAATGCAGCCAATTATGTGATGTTTCAAATAACATTTAAAACAATTTATGCTGATTCGCTAACAGTTACGTCACTTTTGTTGCTTCCAAAATATACAATCACATAGGCAGATTAATCGCGCCATAATTTTCTTGTTACCAGGCAGGAGTAATTTTTTCTCGCACTCACAGATGAACCTGAAAAGTCGTCCCCTATCAACATCTGTAGGCAGCTGATACGTTGCAGCAGACATCGAATTGAGACCTGTGGGTTTTATTGCGATGGTAATTAACCGCAGATAAGTTTCATTTCCCGCAATGCGTATAACATTGTAGTCGATGATCCAAGCGAATGATGAACTCACATGTATTGATGCATGAAATCTTGTAAATCATGGCTGCATTGGGTATGGTTTCGCCAAAACGTAAAGTTAAATTTAGATTATAGTGTAACTGCAAGGTTATTACTAACACAGATTAAAATTTGGCTAATTTGATAAGGGGTGACATATTAAGATCTTGGCCGCGTGATAAATTAGTACTGTGCTATGTGAATGGGAATAAAATAGACGCTCATTTTTATAGGTCTCTTACAAAAAACAGCTAATACTTTCTACAACCACTAAACCAATGTAGATGCCAAATGCTGTCGACTTTTCAATTCTTCTATCAGGGTTTGTTATATGTTCTCTCAAATACAGTATGTGCACTTCTTTCGTTGCGCTAGGGTGTATCACTCAGTAGTAGATCTTTGGGATCAGGTCCATTATCTGCTGTCATCCATGTAGCACCTTGTGACTTCCCTGAAAACGATAGGTAAGTCTGCAGTGGCAACTCGAATGGGTAGATGAAAAGTGGCGGGTACTTTCAGAAGTGCCAGTGACCAGCATTTTGTCAATCGCCTTACTTGCGACAGAGATGGTAATTTTTAGTGCGACTCTGTTGCTAATTTTTTGCGCGGAATATTAGTGACTAATCTTCCCTTTTTGGTCTGACAAATCATCAAGTAAGGTGGTTGCTTCAATTTTGAGGTACTTTGGGGAGCATGCTTGACATTTTTGTTGTGATCTACTTCCGTCTTTAGGGGAAACTTGCTCATATTGTGCCAAGCTTGCAGGCAATGCTCATAAGAAGGAAATAATAGTGCGTCGGGCTGTTCCTTGTGTTTAACTTTTATCTCTTCATTTGGCGGTTCAAGCCTAACAGCTGATGAAATAAATGCGAGAAGATCACCATCAGTAGATGTAGCATCTAAGGTTTCGTTCAGGTGAGGCATTACTATCGAAGATGTCAACCAACCCGTACAACACATGGACCTACAATGTCGACAAAGACGTCCAGTCTAAAAGCTCCATCAAGGTGGTTCCACGCGATGTTTCTGCCAATTGAGTCCCTTTGAGGTAGGGAATCATGCCGCCAACATTTTGGAGGCCATCAAGGATACGGAAGAGGGGTCAAAATATCTCGGTCCGTAGCACGTTGAACGCGCTTGCTGAAAGTCCACCTCATCTCGATTACCTTGATAAGTTGGTGAACAAGTACCACCAGGAAATGTCCATCTTTTGGAACGACAGTAACAAAGGCGTAAAGCTTATGAATGTCTTCAAAGATTTGATCTTCGATACAGCCTCCATGATGTTGAGACACCTGGATACAGAGAAGACTGCACGTCTTCTCCGTCAGACCAAGAAAACAGCTTCAGCAATGTTCTTAAAGCTGTCTCAAATTGGAACCATAATACTATCAGAGAATGATGTACAGCGAATGTTTGGAGGCATGTCAGTACTGAATTCAAGCACTATCTTGGAGGGTGATTTGTTCAAGCACAGGAAGACACCAGGCCCGTCTCTACCCGGCAATGCTCAGCGGTGGTTCAAGCCCCTTGATCTGATTCGCATTTTTCGCCCACCTTTCACTGTTCAATCCAAGCTTGATTCAAGTAGAGATGACGGTAATCGTTTGCCAGAAGTTCGACGAATTGCAGGGAAGGAAACGTCAGTGAGGAGTGGCACTTCAGCCATCCTTATTGCAGACGTAAGCAAGTTCAGACCAGTTTGTCCAATTAGTAATTGAGTGCTTGCAGTTGCATTTTGGGAGGTCAAGACTTTTATTCCAAAGAGGCTTTTATAATATTAATAAACTCCTTTCTCCTTTACCTGTGCCGACATAATAGCGGACCCGCATAAAAGCTACCATTTCAGTGGTAGGCTCATATTTGACTGTCCCTTGAATCAAACCTTTAAAAGGGATTTCTTGTCTCCTACAAGTGTTGGTGGTGTACTGCCTAACATTTACAAACCACTTAAACTTATCGAAGCTGCACAACGAACTCCCATGAAAAGACGTTTTACCCTCATGTAAGTTGTTGTTTTATTATTCAGTGAACCTTTTCACCTTGAAAATACTAGACTTATTTAAACATGAGTAAACTGATTTCTTGCGATATTGTTCCCGGTGATAAGTTAATGTGCCACTATCTAAGCGGAACATTTCATCTTCTGACTGGGATAGGCAAATTGTCAAATTCACCCTTTGAATATATCTATTTAAGTGCTAAGGTCTACGGTATTTTACCACCTTACCTCCTCGAATTGCCTTATATTTTGGTTATTCAAAAATTACTGGCTTTTAGCACAAGGGTTTTTGATATAGCGGGAGTGGATTCCCTTAAATATCTTATAAAATGTGGCGTTAAAAGACATCAGTAAGAGGGAGAAATCGCCTACCTACCCATCCATATACGCCTTTAAACCTGCGAACACATTCTTTTGATCTTTGAATAGTGTTTTCTGGTCTTTGTCCTGTAAAATATGCTAACAGTTTTCTTTAAATTAACAACTATCAGTGAACTGTGCCACTAACAGCCAAAAGTCTAGGTGACCATGCAGGATGGCGGATGTAAAATCGCGTAACAGCAGTCATGATTGATGGATGGATAGAAGGCTAGAAAAGTTTGCAAATCGCGTATCTTTAGCTGAAGCGATTAATGGAGCAGTTAATTAATTTACATTTTTGCAGTCTGGACGCTCTGAATGCCAGACTTCAGCGTTGCATTCGCGCGATAATGCGAGATCCTTCGATGAAGAGCAAACGCGACATTATGAAGCTCATGTCTATCCTGCTGCAGCAATCTGAGAGGGTCGAATTTCGTGTTAGTAGACGGCTGAATGCTCTCGGTCTTCCGAGAAACCCAGAAGGTCAAAACCTACCGTAAGTCTCCAAGCCCTGTAGATTGTGAGCCTCGCCTATAGGTCAAAAGTCAATGCACTGAACTATGGAATACAGCACCCCTTCCTACTGTTCTATCATCAGTCCCCTAGCAAACCACGCTGTTCAGGAAGTTTTCCTTAAACTTTTCGTTAGAATAAGCATTCAATACTTTAAGGACAGGGTAAAACCAATCATCTCAGACAGCGAAACATTAAATTTATTTTACGCCTGGAAGTGTATATGCGCACGAAAATAGCATATAAACTCCATCCTAGCTGCAAATTTGTGTCTAATAACAACTTGTACTTCCACTTCCCTATTAATGTCATTGAAGGAGCTTGCCAAAAAATATCCTTAAATTGCGCCTAGTGCATCCAAATTTGTCACACTTTGTTAAGAGGCATTTCTTCTAGACTGATTTAGTGAATATTGCGAACATATCAAATGTTAACAGAGTAATAGGATTGTTACTATCCAAGACTACTCCGGCATCGGCTATGGCCAAGGCCATTGCATGCCTGCATATCTACTTACTATAACAAAGTCAGGGTCATGTTTTCAGTGTTATTAGCATCTCCATCGACTGAATGGAATCGCAGTTTGCATAACACGATTGGCAAGTGGCCAGCCAAGTCAAAGGAGATGAGATTAGTCTTGAAACACGTCAATTTTTTCCCAGAGGGGATATCACCAGTATCGTACGAATGATGAATCGGCCCTTCTTAATCAAACCCCACGAATGGACTTGTCTCACCGGAAGATTCGGTCTAGCCTAATTCTATTCTGTGCCCTCTGGCGAGAAAGGGCTACAGGGATCCCTAATTTGAGTCGACACAGCGGTGAACTCTCACACAAAATTATTGTCAACTGCAAGCTTGCACGCGTCTTTAACCGTCATTCCCACTTTTAACTCGGTGATTCGTTTGAAGGTACTTAGCCTACTGATCCTACCTTATTTTTCTTCTCTTTTCAATCCATTCAAATTACCTTTCCGATTTTATAGCTCTTCTTTGCTTTGAGTTAACCCTACTCATGTCTCCACTGTCCAGCCCTCACTTTCTTGCTGATTATTACCTGCTCGCTTTACAGTCTCCGTGTTCACTAATCACTCGCCTGTGATTGATCCTTTGTTCGAAAAATCGACATCATGCTTGAAAACGTATTCTTCTAGCTTATTAAATAGGTAGGCGCGTTGGATTTTTGACAATTTCAACTGATACAACTTGCGATGCGTTCAGTAGCTTGGATTCCAGTCAATCGATTAAGCCAAATTTCATCGATGGATTGTGCGGCGTGAAGTCGAGAAAACCTAGCAAAGGGACGACGAGTAATACGTCAAGCTGCACGTTACAAATTTTCGCGTACACCTCTCCCATACTTCTGACAAATTCAACGCGCCCACCCTGCGGTCACTTCGTTTCCTCGACCCATGATAATTTTAACATGCCAAAGAATATTTCCTATTTCAAAAAACTGGATGAAAGCATCTCATAATCAGCTCGTTAAATTCACATTAAAAATGAATTGTGTTATACCCAGCGCATATAAATTTCGCGATATCTTAAGTGTGGTTATTACAAAATAAATCAAATTTTCAAGTTTTATTGATATGTAAGGTACAGATGAAAACGAGAATGGTTAAACTACGCTTAACTATTTTTACAAGCACTCGCTTTAACAGAAACCCAAAATATCGGATAGTCTTCTAAATCACGTTAACTTTATTTGATAGAATTTAATTATGGTTCTGCAATTCATAAGACCAGAATTTAAACAGTTTCCATGGTCTGCCCTGTTTTCACCTGGAACGAGGAAGTTCCTTGCGTTAGAATTCTACTTTGAAAAGCAATATAAAGTGTGCTGGGCGAAATTCGAGTAATATCATTAAAACAGGAAAACAAACAATCACGTTCGATGCATTGTCTCAGCAGTCAAGTGAGCAGCATTTCCATTGGTTCACGCTGCAGCATCTTCATCCTCATCTGAATCTTTTAAAGATTATTAATACTTACAGTGACATTAGCTTTAAATTAATGTATAAACATGAATTACTTTAAACACAAAGAGAAGCACGTCTTACCTCCATAGCATGCAGCCAAATCGTGAGTACTAAACTTGAAATCGGGGTCAAAATTCACATGATCGAGGGAAGAAGGTGGTGGCGATGGTGGTGGTACTGCGAACCAATCAGCAGCATCCTCGAGAAGGCTCGAGGCCATCAAAAAATCGTGATTGGGTAAGAAATCCTCCTCCTCTTCCTCTCCCTCCTCACCTCCTTCCTCTCTGTCGTAGCCCTTCGTCTCCACCTCCGATACCATTTGGAGCCACTGGCAGTTGCGCCATTTGAAGCGTTCCGCCCGTATGGTCTCTGCCCACGTCTCGTCACAGTCCTTCAATGACGAAAGGATCATGTAAAACTCATCAGTGATAACCCATTAATGTCGTATCATTTTGCTATAAGTCCTTCATAGTATAATAAGTGTAATCATGTTCTTTTGGTCTCGTTTATCTATTATCGGAGTATTTATAGTAGAAAAGAAATGCTCCCATCAGAGTTCTGGAGGTGGTGGAATGAATGTTAAATGGTCGTATCCATGCATATTATGTTACCAATTTCCTCTGACAGATTGGCTACCGCACAAATTGTCATCCTATTTTGAAGATTTATACGATATTCTGACGATGAGAATAGACTTGACGGTATGTGGTGGATTGGTGCAGAGGACGCTACTTTGTCTCCATCGGGATTGTCTGCTCTGTATTAATTTTTCTTCCATAGACCTGTCCCCCGTGAGTGGATTGACAAACTTGAAAATGCTCGTGCTGATAAAATAGATGTGGAACGATCCAGAAGTAACTGACGCATGAAAACCCATACTTTGAAGAGTTCTAAGGAAAGCTGGATTGGCTCTCTACATCTACTTAAACCATAAATGACAGAGGAAAATAAAGGCAAATATGCTTCAACGCCCCTTCCAAACGTCCAATAAGCTATTGTGAAGATGCCGATTTCCTAATGCAAGTTGTTTCTTTCGACGATGGGTGAGCTTATCACTGCAGGTCTAGAAGCAATTGACCGAGCCTGCAATTAGGGTATAGACTACCCGACAAAGCAACCAAATTCTTGACTTCACCGTCACCAGCGGTTAGTACCCAGTCATACCATGCGATTCCACCAAGCGCCTTCCTTTTAATAAATGGAAATGTAGAGCAAATGTCGCATGCTATAGAGCGAGTGAAATTATGCGCATTTCTTCGTGAGACGGAAAACTGTATTACTTCATCATACTTTGATTCATATCTTAAAAACACCTGGATGATTGAAACGGCAGATGATAACCCATCCTATGCATAAATCAGATTTAGTGCCATCCAAATTTCATCCTTTTGGAAATTGCATCAAGAAGCTTTAAGGTAAGAATGGTGGAAACAGAAAATAAACAGATTTTATCCCTTCAATAAAAATTTTTGCAAATCGTGAACAGTTTCTCTCAACAAAATTCAAACATGAAATTGCGAAATGTTAGGCGAAACGGATATCAGTCATTCGTGACAACTGTCAGTAAGTTAATTGCGCAGGCTCTAGTGACATTTTTAAAAAAAAATTGCTGAAAGTAAATTGCTTATCGTGTAAAGCAAAGAGCGCAATCGTACCGCGATTATATTCAAGGCTGCGTTGCAGATGCTCCCTATCACCTCATTTTCATCATGCATCAAGTCAAAAATGTAGTTCGGTGCCTCTAAAAAAGTTTTTATAGAATTAGATTAGTTTAGTTTTTAATAAATTAGAGTAACAAAACCCTATCTCAAGAATAAAAAGTACTTTTATGATAGTCTTCGTTTTAAAGATACCTACATCAGTCATGAAGTCAGTGGTTTGCAAAGTTTATATCCGATTACCTTAACAAAACACATAAGATATGATATTACGATATCCTCTACAATAGAAAAGTATCCTGCGATCTTCCTCCCCTTCTAGAGGACGATTTCAATTCACTCGAGCGTTGATATGGGAAAGTAATTATGGGAAGCATGGCCTTCGACACTCAAAACAAGGTGTGATGACGTAGAGAAATTATATGCGGTGCGTAGAACTACCGAGAGTTCAACAACCCAGCTTTAACTCTGGTGACGATAAGCTATACTGAGGCCAAATTCTGCTACAGTGAACTAATCTGCACATCCAGGCTTGAATCAATTCGGCCTCCTTCATAGTAATCTAGGTGCTATAATAAACCCTGAATAATTTTTCACTCAAATAAATAAAAAGTACGATAAGGAAAACATAACGAACAGCATTGCACCTACTTAATGAGGAGACCATATGAAAGGGACAACTAACTCGTATTACTGACAAGATGCTGTCTGGTTTCCTCGTGACGAAGAATTCGATAGAAGACGCAGAGAATTTGAAAGACGACCTCATCGTCCTCCTGTCTGGCTAAAAATTAAATAGCAGAACTATGCGCTTAAATAATGACTCTAAAAGCGTGTACCACTATTTCGATATTTTGTTTCAATGATTTCCCACCCAAAAGATAAGCCTACATATAACCGTATAAGAGAACATTTGGTTTATGACCAGTTCCGCAAATGTGTAACTCGTCCATTTAACAAATCTAGCTTGACAAGCAGTATTTAAAAAGCCAGAACTTTCAAGACCCTTTCAGTGACGTGAACCTCGAAACTACTCAATTTATAGGCAAAAAACAGGGGTAGTGGATGCTTGAAAAGATTAGTGGATTTTGAATGTCATTTGACACTTTGATTGGAACGTGATTTGAAATTTCATGCATGTAGAAGTAGATCGGTCAAATCGCCAAAGAAATGGATGACGAACAGGAAAGTTCAATAGCGGTTTTGACTCATCTACAATAGCTGTTAATCGGGTCTTACCTACAAAATGAGTGAACAAATCATGATTTAAGTGGTAGCATCCTCCATTCATTTTAAATGTTGCGAATCAGTAAAGCAAAAAGCCTAATTTCTGCGAAAAATGTGTTGGAAGGGAAGCTTTAATCTAATCCATACTTGCTTTAGGCATGAATTTATTCGCATAACGTATAAATTAAAGTTGGGTAAGTTTGCAGACTGTCATCGAAATTCTAGGGAAAAAACACTCATGTAGAGTGAAGCTTTGGTTTTAATTAATGATTTGTCTTCCTGTTGTGGTGCAGCCTTACTCGCAAATAAATTTCCTGTTTCACTACAAATTAATGGATCTGAGAACTGTTACTACAATTTCGGCAGAAACAGATGGCAAGCAGTGGGGACGGTTAATTTTACATTATGTAGAAATTCCAATTTCAACTGGACAGTATCAGCCAAGGAAGTTACCCGCTCAGAAAAAATTGTGCATTTACTTACACTTTAGTTAACATAACAATGCTTTTTATTAAGTAACAAGGAAAACGATCATGAGTTGTAGAAGCGAATGTTGAATTCTTTTGCATTCTAAAAGTCCGCATTTCTATCAGACTGTAATGCCGCTATTTACATGTAGGTGGTTTAAAGCAAGTTAAATTCAATAATATTTAGTCCAAAGGGATAACAATGAGTTAAAAAAATGTATTTACATAAAGCCGAACCCGGAATAAATCACGCGCAACATTTATTCTTACAATTTATAAGTTTCAACAGCATGGGAATCACAGGGCTTCCACTTAGTGCTATCATCTTAGCAGCTTCGACATCAATACAGGCGGTTGCGATCATTCGAATGACCTCCAACATGAGGTCGTCTTTGTGATGACTATGCCCCACCCCCGTCAATACTTTCTCGGCCCAAGACAGGAGACCGAGGTCCCCAAGAATGCGAGCGAAGTCCAACTCCTCCAGTTGCAAATTTGCCATTACGCCGAGGCATTCAAGAGAGAAACAGTCCTCCATATTTTCAATGTTGTCGGCGTCACTATCTTGAGAGTCAGCTGACTCGCTCTTGTCATCCTTTTCTTTTTCTGATTCCGCGTTTTGAGAAAGCTCTCCTTCCAAACGCACAATTACTGAGGCAAGATCTGGCAGGTAGTCCTGGAAGTGAAAGTTGATTGCATTAGTAAAGAAGCGTCCAGTCTCATTTGACACATATCTACTCAAATTTATTTCCTCCTCATATATCTTCTGTTGTAGAGTAAGCAGATTTTGTAAGTAGACAAATATAGAATAGAAAGCTCAAATTCAGAGACAAGTGGATGAATGAACGAGTAAAGGAATAAATCCCAACAAATGAGAGCTTGATCACCACACAGACCCCAATCGGTCATTGTATGTTGAAAGAAGATTTTTGTCGCTCCCTCAACCCACTATCCACCTTCCACTTACCACAAAATGGAGTCGTAATTCCTCGAACTGGGAGAGATTTCTCAGCAGTTTCATAAGTAGTGGATCATGAGTTGCGAAGGCGCGGCGAAAAAGCATTCGGATTCCCCTTGGTTCACCGAGACTCCGAGCTGCTCTTCGATCACAAGCCAAGTTGATGAGGAGTCCGAGACATTCGACATCTGATGCTCCCTCGGTGTTACCCAAAATCGATCGCATCAGCTAAAGAGGAGGTTTTTCTCGCTTACCGATTCTGATATCTTCGGAGGATTAAAATATGCAGCAGTGTATATCTATAGCATGCCCTAGTGTCAAAACTCACACGAAACAGAACCTGATTACCAATAATTCTTCTAAAACTTTACAGCAAGAATTTCATTCCAGAATTTTGCACGTAAGAAGAGGCGGCAAGACTGGAAACGGAAAATTGTAGCAGTTATCACAAAAAAATCAGTACTTAAGGTCCTTAAACACATTTGTGACTTGACTAGTGGTCCTAATTGGCAATTCTTTTCAATTCTAAATGTTAAAAATTATCCAAGTAAACAAGGTTTTCCTATTAATGGAATGACCCAATCCCGTTTCGCTTTCGCCTTCACTAAACATACTCCTTCAAAGGTGGAATTGACTGTTCAAGGGCATTTTCGAAGTGACATCATGTGTGGCATAAGTCGAGCATTACAACAAAAAACTCCAACTAGAAAAATACAAGAAATATACATAAATTAATGCCGTTTTCTAATCAATAAGGTTATAAAATATGCTGCAACTTCTACTTCTGGATGGAAAACTATCGATATTGACACGAGAAGACTGAAATGACCAGATATCTAGCACAATGGAGTTTATTTTTGCCTTACTTTACCAAAATGGATCTTCTTTATTCCTTTTTGGAACTTACAATCAAAGAGAACTTAAGAGCCTCACAAAAATCACTTCAAAATTGAAATAGCCTAATTTTGGAAGATTTCACACTGTTTAATTTTGAAACAAGCCATAAATGAACAAACCCAATGATTGATGCCAAGCAAATTATTTTTAGATTGAAATTTTGTTGTGTATTAAATAACTCAGCAGGCAATCTAGCTATCAGTTCACAGTCCCACAAATCTGTCAAAATACGCGCGTACTCACGAGTGGAAGACATCCAGATGAAGCAATTAGGCCCCTGTATCTGTCCTCAGTGCTAAGTTGATAAAGAATACGGAGGGCCACATCGCGCTGAGATGAGTCAGCTAGGAAAAATGCAAAAACCAAAATTTCGTGCAAAATTACCAACAGCAAAAATGGGATACACTTCATTCAGTGACTAGCATGTGCTGCCATCAGAATCAAAGCGTTTGTGTACCCCTCGCTACCAGGTAAAATAAAAAACTGCCCCATTTTAAAAGAACTTAAAATGCAATTTACAGACGCTTTAACTTCATGTTTATATTTTCAAGATGATGCCTTTTTCTCATGATCGCCTGTTTTGACAATCACTTTAACTGTAGGGCACATTTTAAAAGGGGTGCATTCATTTCATTGTGAGGGTCATTTAACTTGTATAACCGTTAAACTAGTACTATTTCCGAAATTTAGCCGCAAAACTCAGACCATAAGTTAATTTTCCTGTCGGAAAATTTCCTTTTTGGGAACTCCCGTCTGCAGCATGGTAATAATATGGTAGTGACACGAAAAAATTATTGTTGTTAGATTTTTGGTGGTCATCCAACAAAATGGTTGCATATTGTCGCATAGGCTTTGATTCACAGGTTGTTTTCCAGTTATTCATTTCGATGTCAAATTCCGAATTTCCACGCAAAATTTCGCATTGCCCAAAATTGACTCCCCCTTGTCGTTAAGTTACAGCAGCAAAATCTCCGAAAATGGGCGCCACCAACTTCTACCAAAAGTATATATCTGCCCAGTGTAATAATCGGCCTTTTCCACATCTTAGCCCTGAAACTTGAAATTATACTGCAGATAATCAAAAACATTCAAGGTTTTTACTTTTGAATAATATTCATTTGATCTACGCTAAATGCCTAATTACAAACACCCCATTCGACTCTTTGATTCTCATTCGCGTAGTGAAGTGGATAACTGGTTAGTTCAGGTATGCGGTGAGAGTTCAGTTTTATTTACTGTTGCAGTTGGCTACTTTTGCATTTTAGCAGTATCCGCATTTAGAAATCCATTTTGTCAAGTGATACAAGCTCTGGTTTCTTCATTTTGCCCCGATTGCCACGACGTTACTTTTCCATAACTGCATCTGAATAATGTTTCTGATAAGTTACTCCTTGTCAAATCGGATAATTATTAAAAATATAAGCAAATCATCCTACCAAGTAGGGGTACGAGTGCCTTAGGCAGCCCTTGAATCACCATCAAAGCTCGTAGGTCTTGACTGAAGGAAAGATTGTACAGCAGACGCAATGTTAGTCGAATAAGTAAAGGCTGGGCGAATGCCAGAAGACCAACCAATTCCTCAACGACTTTGTTTTTTATCTAGAGAATATTGTACCCAAACATACATTAAAACACAAAAAATTGCATTTTTGACGGTATATCAAAAAATTATGCAGTGTACTAAGAAATGTCCGATTTATTAAATAAACGCAATTCAAGATCTACTAGTCTTTCGAAGCAGGGGAAAACTAACTACCGTGGCTTTTACTGATTCCTGTGAGAATATATAGTCTTTGACGTGATTGACTCGATTTCTGACAGGAAATGTTTGGCGAGACATGGATGACACTAGCTGAAGAACTCACAATACACAGTCTATTCAGATGCACGATTTCACTTCTGGTCACAAATGAGCCAGGTACGTAGGAGAACTGGACTGAGTAACGATGATGGATGGCAATTATGAGCTTGAAGGGGCAGCAGTGAAATGGGTCGGTGGGTGGCTCTCTCATAACACACACGCAAATTGCTACCGACAGGAGTCTACGAGCACTACTGTTGTAGCAAAATTTTGCCATTTAAAAAGAAAAGCGATCAGGGAGCCATAAAGACTAACAGCGGCTTCGTTTCCACATAAATCTCACAAGCAAGTGCCGAAAGAGAAGGTACATCCTTTGCTGTCAAGTATGCCTTTCCATCCCAAGTTGAAGGTGACCGCTGATTTTCCAGGTACGTAGGAGAAACAAGCATAGTCAAAAATACTGAAATGCTATCTCCTTATATTTAGCCCACTAATCCAAATGTTCGTAGCCATCGGAGAAATTTCTTCCAGTGGACAAAACAGACTCATTTAAAAAGGAAAAAAATAATTAAGTAATTATCGAAGTTACTCTTTCTGAGCTACTAAACTATCTTTCATCATAAAATCAGTTTCCCTTCATATATCATGCTTCAAAATCAGGCATTTCATATTTAAAGACCCACCATCCTCTCTGGTTACTCACCATTTCGTCAATGTTTTCCTGAAAAAGGCTCAATTTGCGCAAGAACGAAACCACAAGAACTAAGAGGTCGTGGTTTTTTCTCTTCAGACACCGGCAGAGTAGTGTCACAATGCCCTTTCGATGCATTTTCTCCTCCACTTCCACCTTTTCCGCGAGGTTGAGGAGTAGGTAGATGGCGACTTGTAGAATAAATATAGGCCTGAGATTTGTCAATGATGGGTCCATCAAAAATGTAAACCAAGAGAAATATGACAGGGGGAGATATATTTAAGAATAACTCAACTTCTGCGTCTTTCACAATTCGGCCTTCATAGCAGTGGTATGACGTTCAACCATTCTCATCTAAGCCAAAAACCTTCTAATCTTTCTTTCCATGCACAATAAAGGTTAATCCGGAACCGTCTGTGATAATGTCTTCAAGGGAAACTAGGGTGCTACACTGAAGGCGGTGTGGTGGCATGTTTGACAGATTCTTATTCGCGTTTCCTATGATCAGAGCTAACACGGCAATCTGACTACTCCAAGATGCGATATAAAAGAGTAACACCTGCTATGCAAACACTTATAACAGGAGGATACGTAAAAATATCGTGATGCAATTTTAGCAGAGGCGAAAGCTTCGACTCTGTCCGCGCAGATAGCCGAACCATCAACAGTCTACGACGATCGACTCGGATTTAATCGGGAGACCAAGACAGCCCCCAGATATATTTTGCATTTCGGACCATCCAATCGAGTCACAACAACCAATACCATATGCAAAGATAAATATGACTTCCACTACTCCTCGACAGCACTGTGCCACCTGGCATTTTACCAATTTCTACCATCACAAGCAGCATCAGTGGCATTAGTGCTACAGTATTAATCACATCCGTGGATGCTGGCTGTCCCATCCATCCGGCTGCAAGCCCAGCATCAATACGTTACGCAAACCAAGCCAAGCAATTCAAAAGCCAGCTACGCAAGCAGCCTTTACACCTAAGAGTTGAAAATACATCATCGTTCGACTCAGTAAGTACCAAATGCAGCTGTAGCTGGACATCGCCTCGAAGAAGCTGTAACCCCGGGAATCCTCAATTCTACTTTATTCTTGGCATAAAAAGAGTATAGATTGTTTTCAGCCCCCCAAATATCTTCCTTCCTGCGGTTATACAAGTTTTTATTTTGATGTTTGAATCTCCTCTTTCCGCATAATATCCTCGAATATACTAAAAACATTTACACTTCTCACTCTTGCTTCTGTTGTCCGGATTTGCCAGTGTCATGTGGAGGTGGATTTTATCCATGCTAATACTCCTCCTATCCTCAAAGTCATTTGTGAGGGCAAGTACGCTAGAGTTGAAACGATCATGAATGCTCTGTGGACGCCAGCATATCGGGTCTCCGGGGTCATGTCTCACACCGCACGCATGTGCGTACCGTACATTGATTACGACGGTCAAGGCATCTGTTCCGAAGTAATTATCCTCCCGGGCCTTCCTTTTGTGACTACACAACAAGAGTGAGTGTGCTTACCCTAGCACACGTACATAGTAGAATGACACCCGAAAGCAATTGGCGCACAGTCCATGTTCACTTAAGAATATTGTATTTTTCCTGCAGATAAACTGAGGCGCTCTATCTGGATTCCAAAGCTTTCTTCCTGTGATCGACAGTCCCCATGCAATGATGAGATGCTGCCAAGCAAACAAAGAGATCATCGATGAGAACACCTGATAGGGAACAGGTGGACCGTCTAGCAGAGAGATCTTTTTTAAACTATTTTCAGTATTGCAAGGCACTTTTCACTCTCCCAGAATCGTCCACAGACCTTTACATTTACTGTCTGTACTCCTAGTCTCTCAGTCGATCCTGCATAATTGTAGATTTGTGATAACTGACATGCCACATCAGCTTGGTAACACTTGGAATTTTAGGCCCACTTCTTTGCTTCAAAAAACAACACAGCTTGTGCACATATTTTCAAGGCAACTACACAAGTTGACGACCAAGTGCAATGATGCCACCTCATTGTAATCAACAAATTAACTCTATTCGAAACTGCAAAGTATACTAACTATGGAAACCAGAATTTCGAACCCGTTTTCTTGGTAGAACTAGTTATAGTTCACAAATTATTTAGGCGGGAAAAAATATATTGAGTCAAAAGCATACGACTCTTATGAATTGTTAATCATTGGTTCAGATCAACATAATTTACCTAAGGCCGTTTGCTCTTCATCATATCCAGCCAATCAGTCCATAGCTATGCAGCCAACAAGAAATTTTGAATACTTCCTAAACATTCACTGTTTCAATACTTCAATGGAAATGTTTTGCAATACCGTTTTCCCTCAGTACTTTAATATTTAAATCAACCATTAAAAAGCACTTATCCACAATTCATACCTCTAAGAAGCTGCTCCTGCTTCCTGACCAAATCCTCATATTTTTCTGCGTTCTGCTTGTATTCTGGGCAATCCTCACCTTGCTCAGCTCGTATTCTCTTGAGCTCCTCCATCCAACGCGCATAGTTCTGTATCTCATGTTCTAAAATACTCATACAATGTGTTCCTATACGGTCCAGGCGTGCCAATCGGATTCCCTACCTATTTTGTAGTGTATAATCATGCTGTGGAAGTTGGAGAACGATGAGAAACAAAAGAATATGTAGACCAAATTTGTAGTCAAGCCAGTATTCTTCCTCCAGTCCTCTCGTAGCACGCGTGCTAGTGCTCCCACAAGGATTTCTTCAAGAAAATGGGACAAATTCTGGTAGAGCTACACGTCGTACCGTTCTGAAATAGCTCCTCCAAATTGTCGGGGTTCCTCGCTAGTTGCAGTATTAACGCGGAACCTCGCAGTTGTTCAGTCGTGTCTTCATAGAGGAGGTCTAGGTAGTCGTCTAGATCAGTCATGTTGGCAGTCTCGTCGATTTTCGCTGAGTCAAACGCACCAGGATCTGCCAACTTCTCGTTAGCAGATGATATTGGCGTGGCATCTGAAACAGGGAAAAGCATCTTCTACGGTAATTCACTAAATACACTAGGGCTAGAATCCTAATGAATGCAGTATTTTCAGGATCAACAATGAATGCAGCGATTTGAACAGACAGGACAAAAAAGTATGATCCCTTTTCATCACCTTAGCTATCAATGACAATGAATCTGGCAGTACAGCCGGGCTAAATGTTGTTTCCAGGGCTTTTATGCTTAAAAATTGACAGCAATTTCTCCCATTGGCCAAGGATTTTCCTCTCACAGCAAATGGAGAAAACACCTTCAATGACCAAACATTGTAAGAAACAACAGACAAATTAAGACAAATTAGTGGGGTCCATTACGTATTAGGCAAACACTTCCAAATTACTG